TTTAAATGTTTGGTAGAATTCACCAGTGAAGCCATCTAGTCTTAGACTTTTCTTTTTTTGGTGTTGGGCAGGGGGGAGGCAGATTTAATTATTGATTTAATCTCCTCACTAGTAATTGATCTGTTCAGAATTTCTATTTCTCATGATTCAGTCTTGATATATTGTCTATTTTCTAGGAATCTATCCATTTCTCTTATTTGCTCAATTTATTGGCATGTAATTGTTCATAGCAATCCCTTATGATCTTTTGTATTTCTGCCATATAAGTTGTAATGTCTCCTCTTCACTTCTTAATAATTTTTTTTTTGAGAGAGAGAAAGAGCATGTGCAAAGGGGGCAGGGGGTGGACAGAGGGAGAGAGAGAATCATAAGCAGGCTCCATGCCCAGCACAGACCCTGACAGGGGGCTCAATCTCACAATGATAAGATCATGACCTGAGCCAAAATCAAGAGTCAGACGCTTAACTGATTGAGCCACCAAGGAGCCCCTCCTCTTCACTTATATTTTCATTTATTTGAGTCCTCTCTCTCTCTCTCTTTTCAGTAAGTCTAGCTAATAGTTTTCCTATTTCATTTATCTCAGTATGTATGATTTAAAAACATGAACTATACATAAAATGTATTTTGATATATGCAAATTATGCCTTAATAAAAAGGCTTGTTTTATTTTTCATTTACAAAAGGAAAAAGTATCCCTATTCCATTTCTTCTTTTGTGCAAGCAAAGTATCTTATTTTTGGTACCCTCTCTCAACCCTGGCCTTGACATGTTCACTTATTTGAAATTGTTCTATAAGGTTATTTATCTTTCTTGTGGATAAATTTCTTGCCTCCCTCCCCGTTCTCCCAGCTACTTCTACATAGTATGGTTACTATACTGAAAGTCTTTTCTTTTTAAGTAATCTCTACCCCCAACATGGGGCTCAAACTCATTACCCCAAGATCAAGGGTCACATGCCCTACCAACTGAGCCAGCCAGGCACCCCTGTATTGAAAGCCTTTAAAGGGAGAAAGCTCTATTCATTCAATAGATACTTATTTAGTTCCTATTTGGTGCCAGGCACAATAGCTATAATGGTCTGCTCTCATAAAACTTACACATTAGCAGGGAGAAAGATAAACAAATAATCAAGCTAATTACCAAGGGAACCTCAGGAAAACTTCCTTGAAAAAGGTATGTCTTGCCTGAGACTAAAGGATGATAAAGAGTTAACTAAAAGAGAATAAAAAGACAAATGACCCAATTGAAAAATGCACAAAGATCTAAATAGACATTTCTCCAAAGAAGATATACAAAAGGCCAATAAGCACATGAAAAGATGCTCAACGTCAATAAGCCCTCAGGGAAATAGAAATAAAAACCACAATAAGATGCCGCTTCACATCCACTAGGATGGTTACAATCAAACAGATGGACAGGAACTAGTTAGTTAGGATGTGAAGAAACTGGAACCCTTATACATTGCTTGTGGGAATGTAAAATGGTGCAGCTGCTTTTGGAAAACAAGTCTGGCAGTCCCTCAAATGGTTAAACACAGTTACCATATGACCTAGTAATTGCACTGCTAAGGCATATACCCAAGAGTATTGAAAATATATGTCCACAATATAAACATGGATGTTCATAGTAGCATTACTCTTTTTTTTGTTTGTTTGTTTACTTATTTTTGAAAGAGAGAGAGAGCAGGGGAGAGGCAGAGACAAGAGGACCCAAAGCAGGCTCTTCGCTCACAGCAGATTCCAATGTGGAACCCGAACCCATGAACCACAAGATCAAGACCTGAGCCCAAGTCGGACACTTAACGGACTGAGCCACCCAGGTGCCCCGCAGCAGCATTATTCTTAATAGCCGAAAAGTGGTATATTATTCATACAGTAGAATGTTATCCAGTCATAAAAAAGAATGAATTACTGACACATGCTACAACATGGATGAGCCTTTAAAATATTACACTAAGTGTGGGGCGCCTGGGTGGCGCAGTCGGTTAAGCGTCCGACTTCAGCCAGGTCACGATCTCGCGGTCCGTGAGTTCGAGCCCCGCGTCAGGCTCTGGGCTGATGGCTCGGAGCCTGGAGCCTGTTTCCGATGCTGTGTCTCCCTCTCTCTCTGCCCCTCCCCCGTTCATGCTCTGTTTCTCTCTGTCCCAAAAATAAATAAAAAACGTTGAAAAAAAAATATTACACTAAGTGAAAGAAGCCCATCATAGACCAGATACAGTATAATTCCATGTATATGAAATGTCCAGAACAGGCAAATCTATAGAGATGAGAAGTAGACTAGCATTTTCCAGGGACCAGGAAGAGGGAAGAATGATGGGGACTGACTGCTAATTGTTATGGGGCTTCTTTAGGGGGTGATGAAAATGTTCTAAAATTGTATACTCTAAGTGGATGAATCATATGGTATGTGAATATCCCAACAAAGCTGTTATGGTAACAGTAATAAGAAGAAGAAACCAGGGGAAAATGGGAGGAAGAGTTCAGCTCCCAGACAGGAAAATATGGAAAGGAAATGAAGGGGAAAAAAGCAGTATGACCGAACTACAGTGAGCAAGGAGAGAGCAGTATGAATTGAAAATGAAGAAGTAGACAAAGGCCAGGCCCTTCGGGAGCTTGTAGGACTTTAGTGTGAGAGCAATGAGAAGCCATTAAAGCCACAAGGAGAACTACAGTGGATATGTTGCCTGATAAGTTGAAAATTGTTAAACCTATTTAGCTTTCTTTCCACACTTTGTGTTCCACCGAATATTCCCTCAACTATCCAAAGAATGTAGAAAAGGGTGCAGAACTGGCCTATGTTGCTCCGAAGAACTAGGAACGATGAGCAAGAGGCTTACTTGAGCTCATTTTATAATTATATTTTTTTAATATTTCTTTATTTTGAGAGAGAGAGAGCACACAAGCAGGGGAGCGGCAGAGAGAGGGAGAGAGAGAATCCCAAGCAGGCTCTGCACTCTCAGCACAGAGCCTGACACAGGGCTCAAACTCACAAACCTTGAGATCAGGACCTGAGCCCAAATCAAGAGTCGGACGCTTAACCAACTGAGCCACTCAGGCGCCCCCTGAGCCCATTTTAAAGAAAGTTTCATAATAATCAGGGCTTTCCAATAACGTAAGGCGGCTCCCTGACACCAGCAGGGTTCCTGCAAAGATGCAATACCTACATGGGATCTGTAGGATACCCTAGCACTGAATAGAGATCAGTCAAGATAACAGGAGCCCCTTTCTTACTCATTAACCACAAACGCTCTTGCCCAGCTGCTAGAGTTAACCATTAGGTGGACTCATGGTCCTAGACAAAGAGTCCAGAATTTTCACTAAAATAATTGATAGGTGTCCTATTTTAAGCATATTTGTATACAGGTAATATAAATGTCAAAATGCATAAATCCAGGAACCCCAGTACGGCTCCCTGCTAAACTCCCCATTTGGGGTCAAAGAACTGCTGCAATCGCTTCATGCCCAGCTGAGTACCCAACCGGTGAAGCAAACATGGCAAACAGAGGCCCAGACATAGCTGTCTCTCTTTACCCATAGCTGGCCCAGAACATTTCACCAGCATCCAGGAAAGAGGAACCCTGACATGCAGAATGTCAGAAACATTCCCCAGATTGCTTCATGAAACCAGGGAAGAGTCAAAACAGGGGGCAGGCTTTGAAGGAAAATGTTTTAGGGCTGAAATAAGAAGAATGAGGTATGTCTAATGACTCAGGAAGACTGGGCCTGCCCCCCTCATCCCTTTCTCGGTTAGGCATATACCCAGATGATGAGGTCAAATAAAAAATATATAATAAAAAGCAGCCACCTTGAAAGCAGTATGGCACTTCCCCCAAAGTTAAAAATAGAATTACTATATAATCCAACAATATTGCTTCTAGATATATCTACCCCCAGAGAACTGAAAGCAGAAATTTCCACAGGCAGCTGCACCCCCACGTTCACAGCAGCGATATTCACAACAGCTAAGGGGTGGAAGCAACCCACAGATGAATGGATAAACGAAAACTTGGTACACGCAACGCATACAATGGAGTATTATCCAGCCTTAGAAAGGAAAGAATTTGGGGAGGAATTCTTGCCACATGCTACAACATGGATGAACCTTGAGGATTTAATGCTAAGTGAAATAAGCCACAGAAACACAAGTACCGGACGATTCCACTTAAATGGGGTTCCTAGAGTAACCAGAATCACACATAGACAGTGAAATGGTACTTGCCAGGGCCTGAGGGGAGGAGGCAAGGGGGAGTTCCCATTTCATGGGTATTGTGCTTCTATTTGGCAGGATGACCAAGTTCAGGACGTGGACGGTGGTGAGGGTTGTACAACATTGTGAATGTACTTAATGCCATCGGACTGTACACTTAAAAAGGGTTAAAATGGTAACTTCTGTGACGGATATTTTACCAGTTAAAAACAGCAGCCACCCTGCAGTACTAAGAACTTAGGGCTTTTAGATGCATGAGAACTTTCACACGTAGAGCTAATATACTGGTGTGGACCCCCGAATTCATCAGATTTGGGGTTTACCTTGTTTTTTCAGAGCTCCTGTGAACCTTAGGGTCTGAGAGGAGTAGGGCGGTCCTGTCTACGCGGGCCAAGCAGGTTTCCGTGACCGACTCCACAAGCGCCCCTCCCACCGCTCCTCTGAAAGGACCAGCCAGTGTGTCGCAGGTCCCACCAGCCGTCTTTTATGCCCCGGGAGCTGCACGTTCTTCCAATCAAAGGGCAGAGCCAACCGCAAGGCGTCTATTTCCTTTTGTCCCGCCCTCCCCTGCTTCCGACTGGCGGGTTTCAAACACACGGGAGCCAATGAGAGCGAGCGGACGCGCTGTGTTCCAGCCGTAGCTCCAGGCGCGGGTTTTGAAGAAAAACTGTCGCGGAGGAGTCATGGTGCCACCGCGACCGTCCGCAGCTGCCGGTGAGTATGACCGTGGACCCCCGCGTCTCCCAGGCGCTCAAGCAAGGGCGGGGAAGAAAGGAGGCCACCAAGTAAGTTATTTTCGCGGATGGAAACATTCGCCTGTCTGCCTCGGTCTCCGCCTGGGTGTTTCCAGTCCAGGGAGAGCTGACGGGAGCCCCGGCCCTGGCCCAGGGTGAGACATCTGGCCGTGGCTAGAGGAGAGTGGATGCGGGGCCAGATGCCTCAGAGGCATCTTGCCAGTAATTCCTGTAGCAGCTCTGCAAGGAGATGTCATTGTCACCTCGTTTAGGTAGAGAACCTGAGGCCCCTTTCCCGGGTCGCACTTCCAGAAGGAAGCCAACCGCTCCTGCCGCGATCCAGATTTGGATCCAGAGCCTGGGCGTGGTCCTCTGTGCTGCGTCCTCAGCTTTGACAGCTACCAAGAGGCTGAGTCTGACCCTAACAGGAGGCACTGGGAGTTGATGGTTAAATTTGCACTGAGAGCTGAGGGTCCTGGGTTCCCTGACCTCTTAAATGTACCTAGTGGCCTTAGCTATCTTTCCAAATACTACTCAGACACCACCTGCTCCGCAGTGCAGACAGTGTTTTGATAGTTTCAGTAATAATACCTGTTGACTGTCTGCTAGGTCCTGGGCACTGACCTAGGTGCTTTACATAATAGCTCTTAAAGTTGGGCATTTCTGTCTCCATTTTTGTAGGTCCAGAGGCAGCAAGGTTTGCTAACTTGCTAGAAGTCACAGAGCTGGGTTTCCAACCTGGTCTGTCAGTCCCTGCTCTCTACACTGCCTGGTATGGCGTAAAATGCTTAATTCTCAAAGCTGTCTCCTAGGGAACCATCAGAGCCAGATATCAAAACACACAGCACCGCAGTTTAGATCAAATTAAGAGTAATGCACCCTTATAGCCTTTTTTTGCCATTATTTTTTTTAATTTCTTTTTAACGTTTATTTATTTTTGAAGGAGAGAAAGGTAGTGTGAGCAGGGGAGGGAGACACAGAATCCGAGGCAGGCTCCAGGCTCTGAGCTGTCAGCACAGAGCCCAACACCGGCCCAAACCCGCAAGCCTTGAGATCATGCATGACCTGAGCCCAAGTTGGAAACTTAAACAACTGAGCCACCCAGGCACCCCTTCTTTTTGCCATTATTAAATTTTTAGCCTTTTGCAACCACCTATTCCCCTCGCTCAGTCCCTGCCTCTGAAATCCCATAATTCTTTCTTTGACACTTTCTTATGGTACCTAGTTTTTGCCTTACATTGTAATTATTGTTGTGTTTATTTTATCCCCACTACTACACTGAAACTTCTTCAAGACAGAAATACTGAATTTTCATCCCCTCACAAATGCCTTGCTTATTAGAAAGTCAGCCATACAATAGATGTTTTCCATGAACCCCCTAACCTGGCCTATTTTGGCCTGAGGCCCAAAGGAAACCACATAAGGGTTTGTGGGCAAAATTCATCATCCCTGTCAGAAAAAACATAATTAATAAGACCAAGCCTGGTTCACCAGCTCAGGTGAGCCAGTAATAGATTTCTTCATGTAAAGCATAATATGTTGTAGCTGGAACAGTGGCCGTGAGCAAGGGCTCTGACACTGGATAAACCTAGTTTCAGATCCTAGCTTTGCTACATACTGGCTGGGTAACTTTGGGCATATCATTTACCCTCTTTAGATTTCAGAGTGTAAAATACCTAAGAAAATTGTTGTGCGGATTAAAGAAAGCAATGTAAGTGTGAAGAGCTCAGTGTAGGACGCAGCATACAAATGATGTTGTTGATGTGGACATTAACTTGGAGGCAAACTTACGGGACGAGGGACTTTATCATACATGATCCAAAGCCAAAAGCACTATAGAAAAGTACCATCTTTTAGAAGATAGATGACCTGGTTAAAATCTCCAGCTAAAGTTCTGTTGTTTGTTGGCTTGCCTGTTTTGCAGAAGAGCGGCAGAGAAAGCTCCAGGAGTACCTAGCAGCCAAGGGAAAACTGAAGTGCCAAAACACCAAGTGAGTGTGTCTCACCCAGTTATGCAAGTTTTGTTGCCCTGGTTGCTCATAGCAATTTAAAGCCTTTCAAAACATTGCCCTTTTGTGTGGAGTCTACTCAGACTGCACTGAGATCCTATGATAACTCAGGAAAGGGTATGTTGGTCCAGACATGACAAAAACCCTGGCCAGTATCTAGTACACTGGCAAGACTAAAGCACTATTATTGTGGCAGTCTCTAAAGGGAAGAGGAGAAGGTCCACAGTATTACCTACAGTACTTTTTCTGTCCCTGTCCCTGCTTTTTTTTTTTTTCCCCTGGGAAAGTGGTTCTCATGAAGGCTAGAAAAGGTCGAAGAGTTGCGTGACCGTGGTTCTGTTGTTCCTTGCTAAAGCAGGAGAGCCAGTTATAATCAGTCCTCCATAGCTGCACACCAGCATCCTCCAGCCTGACCTCTGTGGTCATTCTCTTAGCACGTACTCTTGAGGTGGACAGAATAGGACTGTTCACTTTTGTCTTTTGTCAACATCTTGCTACTGTAGTGGTGTTACTAGTCCCTCTTGCTTAGCATTGATATATTCTCCCCCTGGCGTGTTGCTAAATTTTTATTTGGAAATGAATCTTTACAAAGCTAGCTTGGACCCTATATTTTAGTTTCCTTTTACTTTGGGGTTTTAACTCTGTTTCCTCGATTAATTAAATCTGATTCATTTATTCAACAAATACTTATTTAATACCTGTAATGTATCAGTCACTCTTGGTTCTGGAGATCTGGTGCTTAACAAAACAAAGAGGCCCCTGCATCTCCAGGGTTTATGTTCAAGATGGGGGAAACTAACAGCAAGTCATGATCAAAGTCCCTGTTAGTGTGAATTATTTTTGATCCATGCAGATTGAATCATTCTAAATTCTCCTCTATTTTCCTATGCCTTTTTACATTTTCTGTCTCACTGGCTAGATTTCATATGTGCTCCTGTTTTTTTAGTTGTATCTCTTTTTTCACTTCTGAATATTCATTATCTGAAGACACTTAAACTTTTTAAAGAAGCTGTTAATTACCTTATTTGACATTGTATCTCTAGTGCCTGGCACATTGCACTTGTTCAAGGATTGTAGTTCGAATGAACAAGACTATGCAAATATGAAGAAAACACCTACATTTCATTAATCTAGTTAGAATGCTATATTTATGCGTGGAACATCTCTGAAAATGATTACCAAAACATGGGTAAGAGTGGTGTGGTCTGAGGAATAGAATAGTGGGACTAACGAAGGGATAATGAGACTATTGGATATAATTTTGAAATATTTTACTATCTACAGAAATTCCAATGATTTAAAATTCTAATCATAATAAATTTAAAAAAAAATTTTTTTTAATGTTTATTTTTGAGACAGAGAGACAGAGCATGAACAGGGGAGGGTCAGAGAGAGAGGGAGACACAGAATCCAAAGCAGGCTCCAGGCTCTGAGCTGTCAGCACAGAGCCTGACGCAGGGCTTGAACTCACGGACCATGAGATCGTGACCTGAGCCGAAGCCGGACGCTTAACCGACTGAGCCACCCAGGTGCCCCATAATCATAATAAATTTTAGTTACTATACTTCCCAAGCATTGCTGATCCTTCAGGACTAAGAATTAATCTTATTTTGTCTTTTACAGGCCTTACCTAAAAGCCAAGAATAATTGTCTGAATCCTCCACCTTCTAAATCTGTAAGTAGAAATTAGTCTTTTAAATAATAATCATTTTGGATGATTAATAATAAAAATAACAAAGATGTTTGCAACCTAAAGACTATGTTATGCAAAGATATTTCTCATAAATAAAAGATCAATTTGGTTTAGTAAGAGACAGAACCACTTTTTGAAAAGTACAGCATATTATAGTTCGGCTTTGTTAATCAAAAAAATTCTCAAGTGCACATTGGTCCTCTTAATAACTAACATTAATGGAATATTTACTATACATCTAGCATTACATTAACTCATTGAGTCCTTACAACCTTATGAGGTAGGTACTTAGTAGCCCCATATTACAGATGAGGGAACTGAGTCACAGAAAGGTTGAGTAACTCCCCAAGGTCACATAGTTATTACATGACAGAGTGAGAACCTGTGATCCTAACCACTTTGGTATGCTGCCATGAAGTTAAATGGCTCTGTAGTCATTAAAAGGGACCATCTTATTGTATCTTCCAAGCTACTTAACAAGATATGCTTCCCAAACAGTTCAATGCTGCTAGATTATGGATAGAATAGTAAAGTATTCTCAAATTTCCAAGGTTTAAATGGGAGAATTTAGCCTTCTGAAAGGCTGCGTATAACATCATTAGACCCTGTGAAGGAAAGAAAATGTATATAAGGCAAAATTGGTTCATCATGATGTGAACAGTTGGGAGTCACTGGGTTAGACTTCTCCTTCATGCAAATTGAATTAGTGTAGCATGCAAATCTTAAAGGAAAAACAAAACAAAACAAAAAACCTCATTCAGAGTTCCCAGAGGCTTCTCTAGAAGCTGACAATACTGTATACCTAACTATCTTTTTTACCCAGTTGTGAAGATAAAAATTAAGTGGGAAAGGCAATTATGAAATAGGAGAAGCTAAAAGGACTAGGCAAATAATAGTCATCATGACAATTGTATAATGCCTTACAATTTATAAAACATGTTTATACCTAATTGTAATAGCTAACATTTGAGTGCTTATTATCCAGATACTGGGCAAGATACTTTATACACAACATCGTAATTAATAATCAAAGCAACCCTATAAGAAAGGTGGCCTTATGATTTAATGTCCATTTACCTTTGAGAGTAAAAGGAGGTACTGTTATGTTGGGCCAACAGCCATAAATAAAAACTATCTTGTGAAAAACAGGACGTTGTGACACCCTTCCCAGAAGATACATATCATTATTGTTATTCTCATTTTACAAATGAGAGGACTGAGGCTCAAGGAGATTGAGTACTTTGCCAAAAGTATATAACCGGTAAGAGTCAGACTTAAGACTTGAACAAAGTTTTTCCGGCACACTCTTACTGCAGTGCTTCTACTTAAAGAAACACACAAGGTTTTTCATTTTCTGTTCGTCTCTGGCAGTTCTAACATATTGAACCAAGATTTGAAAGGATTCCTTGGAGCCATGCTCTTAAATTTACTGAGAAATAGTAATGTATAATTGTTAAAAACTGCCTACGTCCAAATGCTAACTCCTTCATTTTCCAGCTAAATGACCTTGGGCAAATTATTGAACTTTATCTGTAAAATGGAAATAATAGGAGATAACTCATAGAGTTGTTTGAAGGGACTGAGTTAGTATACATTGAAATACATTTAGAAATGTCTACAGACTGGGATATATGTTCCTCTGGAGGTACATAAAGTATCTCCAATGGGTTCACAGTTTAACAGAATCAGCTTCCAGGTCCTCAACTTCCACATACACTTTTGCCTAAAATTGATTTGTAGAATGTGCCTCACATACAGTTGCTCCTTTCCCACCTCCCTTGTCAATATCATCCTTCTACCATTTTTCAGTTCTTTCTTTCTCTGCTGTTTTAGACAAACCACTCACCCTTCATCCCTGATCTCAATATGATGCTTTGCCCTGAGATGGGAATGCCTACAGAGTACAACGTCAAGGGACAATAGTGAAATAATGGTGTCGATGTTGAGAAAGTCTTTTTCAATTCAGATGGCTTCCAGTTTTTTGCACTCAACATTGTCATCTAGTAGAACATTAAAAATAATTTTTTGCTGAGAGATCACTGTGATTTTTAGTGAACTCTAGATGAGTTCAAAGAATTGACTACTACTTACTGGCTGTGACAAAACATCTTCTATTCTCATGAACTTATTTTTTAAATTTTAATTCCAGTATAGTTAATATACAGTGTTAAATTAGTTTCAGGTATGCAATATAGTGATTCAGCCATTCTATATATTACTCAGTGCTCATTAAGCCAAGTGTACTCTTAATCTTCACCTATTTCACCCATTCCCTCCTTACACCGTCCTCCCTTCATTAACCGTCTGTTTGCTGTCTGTAGTTAAGAGTCTGTTTTTTTTTTTTGGTTTGTCTTTTTTTTCCTTTGTTTTGTTTCTTAAATTCCACATATGAGTGAAATCAGATGGCATTTGTCTTTCTCTGACTGACTTATTTTGCTTAGCATTATACTCTCTAGATCCATCCATGTTGCAAATGGCAAGATCTCTTTCTTTTTTATGGCTGCATTATATTTATATACACTTCTTTATCCATTCATCTATTGATGGACACTGGACTGCTTCCATAATTTGGCTTTGGAATTTATGCTGCAATAAACATAGGGGTGCATATATCCTATTGAGTTAGTGGTTTCATATTCTTTGAGTAAATACCCAGTTGTGTGATTACTGGATCATATGGTAATTCTATTTTTAATTTTTTGAGGAACCTCCATACTGACTTCCACAGTGGCTGCACCAGTTTGCATTCCCACCAACAGTGTATGAAGTTTCCTTTCTTTCCACGTCCTCACCAACACTTGTTGTTTGTTGTGTTTTGTTTTGTTTTGTTTTATGTTAGCCATTCTGACAGGTTGAGATGATATCTCACTGTGGCTTTGATTTGCATTTCCCTGATGATGAGTGATATTGAACATCTTTTCATGTGTCTGTTGGCCATGTGTCTTCTTTGGAGAAATGTCTGTTCATACCTTCTGCCCATTTTTTTAATTGGAATATTTGTTTTTTGATGTTGAGTTGTAAATGTTCTTTATGTATTCTGGATACTAACCCATCTACTTAGTAATGTGAACAAATTTTCTCAATGTTTTTATTTAAAAAGAAAAAGGAATAAAATTGATGCAGACCTCTGTCTCATTCCAGCAACAAATGTCTCCCAATGAATACATAAACTAATTATAGGGATGGGGAGCTCCAACCAACTCATTAAGAGATACATTTCTATTTCTTTATGAAAAAATATTTTCCTTTTCATGTTTAATGATTAGTGATCAGGGTGCCTGGGTGAGTCAGTTGAGGGTCTGACTCTTGGTTTCAGCTCACGTCTTGATCTCATGGTTGTGAGTTCAAGCCCCACATTGGACTCTGTGCTGACAGCATGAAGCTTGCTTGGGATTCTCCATCTCCCTCTCTCTCTCTGCCCCTCCCTGACACACGCTGTCTCTCTCTTTCTCTCTTAAAATAAATAAACTTTTAAAAAATAATAATAATAATTAGTGGTCAAAATCAGTAACATTTATCTTCTTTTGCTGAATTATTTCTAGTTATGGCAAATACAAATAAGATAAATTTATAAACATATGCATATTTGTTGAGAAGTATGATAGGGTAATGAACTATAATGAACTATATACTGCCAAGCACAAAAATCTAGGAAAGAAATTTTGTGAACTGGAATGAACATATACCAAGAGAATAAAGGAAACGTGTCACATTTTCAATTTTAAAGAAGTATGTTTGTACAATTTTTTAAAGGGATTATAGTATCAAATTTCATTTTATCTTAAGATGTCAATATTGACAGTGTGCCTGAAATTGCATCTTTTGCAACTATTTAAACTAACAATGAAAAACTTTAGATGTTAACTCTAAAAAGTATGAAAGGGTACAGAGTTTGTCAAAATTATTTTGGGGGGCACCTGGGTGGCTCGGTCGGTTGGGCGTCCGACTTCGGCTCAGGTCAAGATCTCACGGTCAGTGAGTTCGAGCCCCGCGTCGGGCTCTGTGCTGACAGCTCAGAGCCTGGAGCCTGTTTCAGATTCTGTGTCTCCCTCTCTCTCTGCCCCTCCCCTGTTCATGCTCTGTCTCTCTCTGTCTCAAAAATAAATTAACATTAAAAAAAAATTTTTTTTAATTATTTTGGGCATGTATGAACAAAAATGCTTGAAAAACACTGATGAGATAAGCTCTACAATTTCTCCCAGCCCTACGATAGCCCTTATTTCATCATATCATCATTTTTTGTGCGTGTATCTTTTCTATTAGCACTCCTCAGGGACAGGTGTCTTCTCATCTTTGTGTCCCCTTAGAGTCTGGCACTGTGCCTAGTATACATTCAGTAAGTCTGTCTTGATTTAAACTCTTGTCATATATTGTATGTTGTATATTTTCTCCCTCCCCTGGCTTCATATGTCCAGAATAAAGTGACCAAATTCAATTTGAATCGATTGTTCCTTCTTGTACATTCTTTAATTTTTTTATCATTTTGATCCATCAATTCTGAGGTAAGTTGTCAGAGACCAGGAGTTAAGAGACTGAAGTTCTAGCTCCAGCACTGCCTCTAACACCCTGCCTGACCTTGGGCAACTCACTTTCCCTCTCAAGTGAAGGGGCTCAACTTAATGATCTCTAAAATTCCAACCTTGGGGGCACCTGGCTGGCTCAGTCAGTAGAACATGATACTCTTGATGTCAGGGTTATAGGTTCAAGCCTCATAGTGGGTGCAGAGACAACCTAAAAATAAAATCTTAAAAATAATAATAATAAAGTAAAATTCTGACCTTAATGGTCTGTATTTGCATACTGATTGCTGGCTCTTCTGTCAGCCAGATGACTCTTCTAAGCCTAGGTTTTCTCTCAATGTAGTACTTAAAACTGCAGACCAGTTCTATCACTTACAATAAATTAGCAAGGCCAAGCTAATCTAAAATAAAGATATAAAAACTGAACAAAAGAGAAAATACTTGCAAGTCATATATATGATAAGGACCTACTATCCAGGATACATAACAAACTCTTGCAGCTCAACAATTAAAAAACAACCCAACTTTAAAATGGACAAAGGATAATCATAATAATAATCATAATAATAATAACATGGACAAAAGATCCGAATGGACATTTCTCCAAAGAAGATATACAAATGGCCAATAAGGACATGAAAAGATGCTCCATATCATTACCATGAGGGAAATGCAAATAAAAACCACAATGAAATACCACTGCATACTTACTAGGATGGGCATAAATCAAAAAAGGCATAACAAGGATTAGGGAGGATGTGGAGACATTAGAACCCGTATACAATGTTAGTGGAATGTAAAATGCGACAGCCACTTTGGAAAACAGCTTAGAAGTTCCTCAAAGTTAAACACAGGAGTTACCATAGGACCCAGCAATTTCATTCCTAGGTATATACCCAAGAGAATTGAAAACACATGTTCACACAAAAGCTTATAACAAATGTTGATAGCAACATTTTTTTATAATAAATAAACTGTAAAAAAAAGATTTTAAAAAATAAATAATAAAGTTTATTATTGAAAAATAAAGTGGCAAAGACTGATACATCCTACAATATGGGTAAGTCCCAAAAACATTATGCTAAGTGAAAGAAGCCAGAAACAAAAGGCCACATGTTGTATGATCCCATTACACGAAATGTCCAAAATAGGCAAATCTATAGAAACAGAAAGGAGATTTTAGTGTTTGCCACAGTTTGTAGGGAGAGGGAAATGAGGAGTGACTTTTAACAGGTATAGGATTTCTTTCTGGGGTAATGAAAATATTCTGGAACTAGACAGTGATGATGGTTATACAGCCTGGTGAATATACTAAAACCCACTGAATTATACACTTTAAAATGGTGAATTCTAGGATCACCTGGGTGGCTCAGTCAATCGAGTGTCCAAATCTCAATTTCAGCTCAGGTTATGATCCCAGTATCATGGAATCAAGCCCCACATCAGGCTCCGTGCTGAGCGTGGAGCCTGCTTAAGATCCTCTCTCTCTCCCTCTGCTCTTTTTCCCCTCGCTTGCACTCTCAAACAAATGAATGAATGAATGAATGAATGAATAAAAATGATGAATTCTAGGGGATGCAAATTATATCTCAATTAAAAAAAAGAGAACAACTAAGGAATAGCATATGTTTGGAAACATTGATACCATATCCCTGCCTCTTCAGTAAGCAATAATGGAGAGATCAGGGGTGGATGTAATTGTTGGGGCTCAAGGAGTAACCCAGCTATAGCCATGTGCATATACCATCCATCTCTCTGGCTCCCACTTCCAACCCTCCCCTATTTCACCCCAGCAACACTGCCCTACACATACCATTCTAGAGTGAACATCTCTTTGCCCTTAATGCCACATGGTTCTGGTTACAGACTTTCTTTACACACTCACAAAGTTCACATAGTAATTCTCAACAATATTACCAAATCAAAAATAAAGAGTGGTAACTCTATCACTCCCATATCTTCCCCTAGAGAAGTATAATCTACAAATCTCTGCCAAATTCTCCTTTCTGAATACTTGTTTTCAATGCAAATGCTCTAGAATCCACAGTGGCTTGCTCCTATTATCTATCATATCAATTCTTTAATTTTTTTTTTTTTTACATTCATTTAGTTTTGAGAGACAGAGAGAGACAGAGCACAAGTGGGAGAGGAGCAGAGAGAGAATGAGAAACAAAATCCAAAGCAGGCTCCAGACTCTGAGCTGTTAGCACAGAGCCCAGAGTGGGGCTCGAACTTACAAACCATGAGATCACGACCCGAGCCGAAGTTGGACGTTTAACCAACTAAGCCACCGAGGCGCCCCTACCATATCAATTCTAAACTCCCCTCCCTTGTTTTTGAAGTTCTCTATAATCTATCCCTGCCTTTCTTATCCAAGATTAAATCACATGGCTGAAACATTTACTTGTTAATAATGTAGAATCTAACCTTAAAACCCTGTCCTGACTTTACAAATATGACTTTCTACTGAGATACTAGATTTAATTGAAAACTGTTCCAAAGTGTCTCCGGCCTCCCAGCATCTACCACTTACCTATCCTTGCCACTGATATCCAGGGACAAAACAAAGGTTCTTGAGTTACACTGTGACCTTTACAAAGGTAATGTTGTGTAAAAAAAAAAAAAAAAAAAAAAAGTATAGCAATACACTCTACTACTAGGAGGAAGTTGAGAGACACCCTAACATAAGTTTATTATGTATGTATTTTTCCAGAGTCCCTAGAAGGACACTTCATTTGAGACATAATGAGCATCCAGCAAGTACTTGTTCAATTGAGGCAAATTTGTTTTTTAAACAGCAATTTTTGTATGTTCACTGCATCTCTGCTTAATTCTATCAAGCTAAAATATTCTGATATATTTCTAATAGGAGTTCAAATTATAAAGATCATCTATTAGCAAGACTTTATTTCCCAGATTCGGCTTTCTTCAATGAAATTCTAAGTAAAATAACTATTTTTTTTTATTTTAAAAGCAATGAACTATTGTTATAAAATTTACTTTTTGATATTTTTCTTTGTCTTTTTAGACTATTGTACCCAAAAAGAATGTTACCAATTATGTTGCTTTGCCTGTCAAAGCTACAAGACCCATCAGCGCTGAACTCCAGCCCCGACCTGCCAAAGGCCCAGGATCCCAGAAGCCAAAGTTGGAGCCACCAAAACTTCTGGGCAAAAGGCTGACTTCAGGATGTGTTTCTTCTAACTTAAACTGTAAGCCTTCCAGCAATCGTCAACAACACCATGAAGAGGGATCATCCACTACTGGTGAACTGCCTACAGAAACTATGGGGTCACTTAATATACAGGAACTGAAAACTGCAAAGCAGCAGGTAGCAGATCAAGGAAATACTAAGTGTGCAGACTCTGTGGACTGTAACCATGTTGAAAATGAATCCTTAGATAGCTTTCTAAAAGAGATAAACAAAGAAAACTTGCCCCAAATCTTACTAGACTCTGAAAGGAAGTCAAATCCTGAATTATGGACAATATGTAAGCCAAAGACTAAGTCTTATAATCAAACCAAGAGCAGTTTGGCTCCTAAACAAGCCTTGGGCAAAAGTTCTGGGAATAGTGCTTTTCTGAAAGACCGAGTTAATAAACAATTTGTTGGAAAAACACAAATTAGGATTCCACCAGTAAAGTCACAGCAACTCTCTAGAGGAACAAACCTTGCAAGACCAGGAGAAAAACTCCCAAAGACGGCTCCCTATCACTACGTTCAGACCCTTAGTAGGACTCAAGCATCAAGGAAACCAGTGGTCAAGGACATAAAGGATATAAAGGTTAATAGGGGTAAATACGAAAGACCAAATGAAACTAAGGTACAGTCACACACTGTTACTGAACAGAAAGTAAAACAAAACAAACCCCGGACATGCCCTAGTGTGCTTCCGGGAGGCTGTAACAACAGACCTCCAAACACTAGGCAAGATCAGAAATCCACTCAACCTTGTTGTAGACCTCGGACATCATGTGCACTACAAAAATCAAAAGCCATAAGCCAAAGGCCTAATTTGATAGTTGGCAGTTTCAATTCAGTCGTTCCAAGCACCCCTAACATAACAGCAAATGGAACCAATGGGAATAGATGCAGCAACAGCTGTCAACAAAAAGCACAGATTTTGGACACCAAGTTGAAAAAGACTCTTCCCCAGAACCATTTTCTCAGTAAGACAGCTCCCAAAACTCAAGCTGGTAACAAAACCATACATGGAGGAAGAGTCCCAAATGGGACCCAAACTAATCCAAATATTAAGAAGAAGATCACAGCAGAGGACCGAAGGTACTTTGCTTTATGTCCACGATTTTGCAGTTTTAGATGATTAAGCATATTGACCATCAGGAATACTCAGTCAGGACATAGGCCATAAATAATGGCTTCTGAGTAATTTTTAGCTACAACCCTATAAAAAAGATTAGAAGCAAATACAACAAGTACTAAGACTTGGTAGAGCTGGGTGGTATATACAGGTGTTATAAATTATTCTCTGTAATTTTTTGGATACTTGAAAATAATTTATTTTTTAAAAAGATATTGAAACAAAATGGTTGAATAAGAAATAGGAGTTGCAGGGGCACCTGGGTGGCTCAGTGGTTAAACCTCCAACTTCGGCTCAGGTCAGGATCTGATGGTCCATGGGTTCAAGCCCCGCATCAGGCTCTGTGCTGACAGCTCAGAGCCTGGAGCCTGCTTTGGATTCTGTGTCTCCCTCTCTCTCTGCCCCTCCCCCATCACACTCTGTCTCTCAAAAATAAACATTTTTTTTTAACTTTATTTTTTTGACAGAGAGAGACAGAGCATGAATGGGGGAGGGTCAGAGAGAGGGAGACACAGAATCCGAAACAGGCTCCAGGCTCTGAGCTATCAGCACAGAGCCCGACACGGGGCTCGAACTCACGGACCACAAGATCATGACCTGAGCCGAAGTCGGCCGCTTAACCGACTAAGCCACCCAGGCGCCCCAAAAATAAACATTAAAAAATTAAAAATTTTAAAAAAAAGAAAGAAAGAAAGAAATAGGAATTGCAGATGTAGCCTACTCAACAAGTAGCCTGCAGGGACTGAACAACAATAGAAGAGGGCAAAATAGGAGGAGCCTGAGTAGTGAGTTTACATAGCTAGGAAGTGGGGAGTTGGTAGTCCCTTCTGAAGCAGACCAGTGGTTAAATCCAGAAAAGTTATCAGGGAAGAAGGAACAGGAAACTTCCATGAGTTTGAGCAGGCCAAGTTTTGGAAAGTAAGCTAAGACAAAGAAGAAAATCAGTTCACATACAGAAATCAGTATCTCTGGGTGCTGGGGGTTAACATCAACACGCATGATGCTTGAAACCAAGCCAAAGGATTTCACACTTCCTGCCCAGGACCAGACATAGTATCATAATGTGGTGACCCTCCCAGGAGAAGCACCTGTGTATTGGAGTACACTTCAACTTGGTTGGAGTAGAAAATAGGGAGATTCCTGACTGACAAGGGTGAAAAGAACATGTAAAATTAGATGGTAGCCAAAGAGTACAGCAGGGTAAAGTGAGGGCAGGATCTGTTCTCTGAATACAGCCCCGAACACCACCAACAAGCTCTCTGCCCTCCTGAAGAGACAGAAAATAAACAGCTTAATTTAGGATGATGCGATTGAGAGAGTGAGACTGGGCTGACTTCTTTAGATAGAAGAGAAGGGTTAAGGAGGTACTTTTCAACAATGACGTCTGGTCTAGGAAAAGGATAGTGACAAAAAGAAGAAGGATGACCCTTCTAAGCAAAAAGAAAACGGAGTACAAAGACCCCAAGCTGGTGAATGAGGAAGTCAGGGTCCCTCCCATGCAGCTCGAAGTCTAGACCAGACAATAGATGATGGGTCTTAAGACAGTGTGTGGAATGCTGACCACATTTGATTATACAAGAGGAATCTGTGGAGAGCGATAGATCACTCACTCATTGCTGGAGTGTTCCTTGAGCACCTACCATGTGCTGGGCATTGGGAGATACAGTGGTGACCACACAGTCACAAGTCTACCTTAATGGAGCTTTTTCTCTGATGTATCTATGGAAAGTGCTAGAATAATAAAATCATAGCATTGAGGTCCTGGGAATAAGTTGGCTTTAGAAAAGGTAAGTTCCCTGTTCATTCATGATTGGGAGGAAGGCTGAGATCGGAAGAATGCCAGGAGCATAAGGGAAGCACATCCCAAACATCTCAGCTTCTGTCATTAAGTAGGTGGTTCGCATGTAGGTGAAGCGGGGCAGTTGGAGCTGAAACAAGCACTATGAATTGTGCTCTGGAGTCAAGGAAACAAGAAGGTTAATTAGTTATTGACATATGGGAAAAACAAAACCGTAAGGTCAGAAAACAGATCGGTGATTACCAGGAGCTGGGCATGAAGAGCAGGGTTGACTACCAAAGAGCATGAGGACAATTTTGAAGGTATTATATCTTCATTGTTGCTATGTTTACATGACCATATGCATTTGTCAGAACTCGCAGAACTGTACATTTAAAAAGGTGAATTTTACTGTATGTTACTGAACACTTGTGTGTTCCAGACATTGCGCTAGGCACTGGGACATCCAAGGTTTCTGCCTTCATGGAACTTGCATTCTAGTGGAGAAGACAGAAAATCAACACACTGATGAAACAGACAGAATAATTAGAGATAATTACCTCTTCAAGAAGGTGTCATTTGAGCAGAGGACTGAATAAAAATGATACTACAAGACCTTGAGGCAGGCATGAGCATGGGTCAGGTAACTGAAGGGTTACCAGAACTCCTGGAGGGGAAGAGTAAGAGGGAAAGTGGTATGACATGAGTTTGGAGAGGCACGGAAAGCATGTTTAATTTTATTCCAAGAGACATAGAAAGTTCCTGGCTGTGACTCAGTCTGCTTCACACTTTCAAGATCACTCTGGCTACTGTGCACACAATGTATTTGATAAGGGTCAGAGTGGAAGCAAGGACATGAGTTAAGGAGGCTGCTATAGCCTTTCAGGCAAAAGGTTAAAGTGATATGAACTAGGATGATAGTAGTAGAGCTAGAAGCCTGTACCATGATGTGTCAGGTGTGGGGAAGAAAGGACCACTCAAAGACCACTCCTAGTTTTAGGTCCTAGCAACCGGGCAGATTGGGGCACTGTTTATCAATGTAGAAAAGACTGTTCAGGAATAGGTTTGGAGATGCCCATCAAGAGCTTTGTTTGAAATGTGTGCCAGACATCAAATACAAAATAGCAACTAGGCACTGGGTTTTACAAAGCTTGGGGCTCTTTGTAAACATCTGGGCTGAAATGTACATCTGTGAGTTATAAACATGTAGTAATGTAAAGAAGCTGAAGAGCCTACATTCAAATGCTTAAGTCTAAGGTCTTGGTGCCTCCCCCAACAGCAGTCTGTTGGCTGCTTGGAAGCAGGAGCAGAGAATGTGGAGAGTGAAGGAGAGCAAGGATTCAGACATGGCACCATCGGAGACTAGCTACTTAAGAGTCCTGAAATTAGTGATCTTGTTTAGGAAGAAAGGGGGTCATGTGCGGTAGGAGAGGGCTAAGGAAATGGGCAAAGTGGGTCACTGGCCAAGACCCTACTGAGGGCAGAGTGCAGGTTTGGTGGGTCAGGTTGAGTGGCTGATAGAGAGCTTATGGTAAGAGAAATGGAGTGCTGAGTTCATCATCTCAGAGCTAGAGGGATGTCTTAGTGCCAGAGGTAATGTACAGGAGAAATGAAAATTTCTAGAGAAAAATAATGAAAAAAAAAAAAAAAAGAATGAAGAATAATCATGAAGTTGAGGAATTTGAAGACTGAGATACTAGCCACTAGTAATCCTAGTAATCCCTCTGCAGTCTGCCTTCTGAAGGGTAGGAGCAACCAATGCTGCCATTACCCCTTTGTAAATTGTTTTTAATTCCATTCTCCTGACTCTGTATGTTGTTGAAGGTATGTAGTGGTACTCCATTCATGCATACCTTATACTCTGGAAGTGTGACTGTATACAAAAAGAAACCTAAAGCATTTTCCCACTCCACTCCACCCCCCCCCCTTTAATTTTATGACAGGAAACAACTGGAAGAATGGCAGAAATCTAAGGGGAAAATCTATAAACGGCCTCCTATGGAACTTAAAACAAAAAGAAAAATAATAGAGGAAATGAATATTTCATTCTGGAAGAGTATGGAAAAAGAAGATGAAGAAAAGAAAGCACAACTTGAACTGTCCAATAAAATTAACAACACTCTGACAGAATGTCTGCAGTTCATTGAAAGGGTGAGTATAAGTAAGCTCCCAAAGCTTGGCCCGCAGTCTTAGAGTTTTTAAACATTTTTCTTAAATACGGTGTAAGAGAGATAACCTCCGTCTAAGTAGAAATTCAGCTGCTCTTTTTATATAGAAGAAGAATAGCACTAATAATAATGGCATGCATTTAAACAATAGCTCTTGTATGCCGGGCACTGTTCTAACACTTTACTTATATTATCTCATACAGTTATCATAATAACTATTATCACGCCCACTTTACAAATGAAACTGAGGCACAAAGAAGTTGGAAAACTAACCCAAGCAGTCTGCCTCTGGAGGGATCCAAAGGAGTTTTGCCTTTTTTCGCCATCAAGGTCAAAAAAGTAAATATTTGACATTTGGATATGAAGCTGAAGTCAAAGTCAAGGTCATGTGTAAAATTAGATTATCCTAAAGACTGGGTGGCTATAAATGGCATTGAAATTGTATCTTGGATTCTGCAGATAAGGATAAAGGAGATGGTAAGCAAAGGGTATGATCCTCAGGAGACACCTTGAAGGAAAATTATATTAATAAAAAATAATTGGATAGATGTCTACACTAAGGTCCTTGCCTGAAGCAAACCCAATTCTGTGCTTTGGCTGGTGGTGTTGGACAGAAACATAAAAAGGAAACCTTCAGTTTAGGTCCACTCCAGGAAATTTTCTCACAAAATTCACTTAAACGTTAATTATTTCTCCTTTATGGAATTAAAGTTCCATTCTTTTGTTGTTGTTGCTCTTTCTTGTATTTTCATTGTATTAAAGAAAATGCATGAATACATTCTTATTATTAAAAACATTACGGGACTCCTGGGTGGCTCAGTCAGTTAAACGCCTGACTTTGGCTCAGGTCATGATCTCATGGTTTGTGAGTTCAAGCCCCGCATCTGGCTCTGTGCTGACAGCTCAGAGCCTGGAGCCTGCTATGAATTTTATGTCTCCCTCTCTCTCTGTTCCTCCCCCTCTCACACTCTGTGTGTCTCTCTCTCTCAAAAATAATTAAACATGTCTTAAAAAATTAAATTAAAAAATAAAAACCTTTCAAACCTTTCAAATAAAAATGACCAGTGTTCCCCACTGAGCATGCCCGCACACACACGCACAGGGACACACACACAGTTAGGCATCCCAGGCTTCTCCCAAAAGATGCCCACTATTGCCAGTTATCCATCCAGACAGCTTTTATGTATGTACATACCATGTAGATACATAGAGAAATGAAGTATATAGTTTTGTGAGTTGCAATTATTTTATTCCAGATTTTTACGTATGTTCTTTGGTTGCCTTTTCTTGTGTTTCCCTAATATTAGTATCATGTTGGCTTTGCCAAATAGTTGGGTATTTTCCTTTTTTCCTGTACTCTAAAAATAGTTTATACAACATGAGAGTTACTTTTTTCTTTGAAGGTGTGGTAAGGACTTGCCCATAAGGTTATCTGGACTATGGGATAATTTTGGGTATTTCTTTTCCATTTTTTCTGTGATCATTGATCTATTTAGGTTTTGTATTTCTTGAGCTAATTCTAGTAATTTAATGCCTTTTATTTAAAGATTTCTTTATTAATCTTTTTAAAAGTCCATATTGGGGTTTTATTGATTTTTTTTCTCTTGCATCAATGTCTGCATCTATTTTTATGTTTACTGGTTTTTATTAGCCTTTTTAGTTGAAAGCTGAAATCATTTATGTCAGTCTTTCTTATTTTCTTAAAAATAAATTTAATGCTGGGGCGCCTGGGTGGCGCAGTCGGTTAAGCATCCGACTTCAGCCAGGTCACGATCTCACGGTCCGTGAGTTCGAGCCCCGCGTTAGGCTCTGGGCTGGTGGCTCGGAGCCTGGAGCCTGTTTCCGATTCTGTGTCTCCCTCTCTCTCTGCCCCTCCCCCGTTCATGCTCTGTCTCTCTCTGTCCCAAAAATGAATAAATGTTGAAAAAAAAATTTTTTTTAATAAATTTAATGCTATAAATTTGAGGCACCTGGGTGGCTCAACCAGTTAAGCATCAGACTTTGCCTCAGGTCATGATCTCGTAGTCCAAGAATTCAAGCCCCAAATTGGGCTCTGTGCTGACAGCTCAGAGCCTGGAGCCTACTTCAGATTCTGTGTCTCCATCTGCCCCTCTCTCTGCCTCTCCCCCACTCACATTCTCTCTCTCTCTCTCTCTCAAAAATAAATAAACATTTTTAAAAAAATTTTTTTAAGCTATAAATTTGCCTCTGAATTTAGCTTTGGTCATATCCTTTATGTTTGACTAGGTCATGTTCTGTATTAGTCAGAGTCAAGTCAGAAAAACAGAAACTGCACCAGGTATCTTAATAGAAAGAATGTAATGTAAAGGTTGGTTTCACAGTGTCTTATGTGAGTTCCCTAGAAGCAAATCTAAGAGGAGAATTTGTGTGAAAGTAATTTATTAGGAAGAGGATCCCAAGGAAAACTGGGAGGGGAGTGGGGATGTGGGGCCAGGAAGGGCAGGAGGCCAAGTAGGATGTGGTATCAAGCAAAATCCAATGACTATAACTGGCAAAATCCCACAGGGGAGCTCTGGAGACTATGGACCAGACCTCTTAGAGTCATCCTGATCAGGGGCAAAGAAGCTATAGTAGTAATACCTCCATGGTCATTGACTAATGGGGGGAGCGGGTGGGGAAGGGGTGGACAAAAATTCCCAGGCACTTTGACTCTCTGGACACATACAAAGAGGAGCAGATGCTGGCTGTTGGACTTGAAAGCACTTTCTGAGCCTGTGTGCACAAAAATGGTAAAGGGACCATCAGGAGAGGTATGGGTACTACACACAGGGCTGACTGTAAAAGAGAACCTGAGGTAACAGTGGCAATAACTTCAGGAAGCACCTAGCACCCACTGGGTCTAGGGGAACAAAGAGAGGTTGAGGGTGTCCGAACCTAGAAGTTAGGAGAGACAAACTCCAACTCTCAAGGAGGGCACACTACCCAGCAGATGTTGGGACCACAGGAACTGGAGGAGACGCCCAGCAGGGCTGGATCTCAGACTTTGAGGAAAGGATGCTACCCAATTGGTGCTCTTGCCTCTGAAAGAGCGCAGTGAGGCAGGATCTGTAAATGCCAGAAAAAAATGGTTGAGGCTAGAACCAACTATTGCTGCCAGAGTGAAGGACCATTGCTGGAGTGACGAAAGCAAATGGGAAAGAGGAAGTCCCTCTCTTCTCCATCCCCACCATCTCCCTCTAGCCCTGCATACTGGCAGAGCCCAGCATAGAGCTGCTGTGAAAACAGTGATTTACAGAATTCCAGCCTCAGTGTCACAGCAGAGGATACAAGGTGGGTTTGGAGCTAGGAGACCATAGCTTAATAATTGACATAAGTTCTCATTGTTGTTCATTTCTAAATAGTTTGAGGTTTCCATTTTGAGTTGTTTAACCCAAAAGTTGTCTTAGAAGAACATCTTTTAACTTCCAGATAGAGTTTTGTTTTGTTTTGTTTTGTTTTTCCCTGTCATTCTTCCAGCTTTTAATTATACTGCATTGTGAATGTAGCCTGTATGTGTTCTGCTTGATAGAATATGTTGAAATTAATGTCTAATCAGTCTTGGTGAACGTTCTATCTCTTAGATGGATATTGGAATTCCTGAGTAATAGATGTATCCTCCAGAACTCTTTTAAATTTTCTTTCGTACTCTTCATTTCTTTGTTCTGTCTTAATTGATTCTGGGAGAATTCCACAGCCACATTTTCAGCTGATTGATTTCCTCGTCAACTCCATTGAGGTTTATGCCTCTCTCGTGTAGTGTTGGTTTTCTCAAACACTGATGATTCTTGATTGTGAGGTTACCTTTGGGTCTCCCCCATCGCAGGAGGAGTAGGAGGTTCTGCTTGGCTGAGTGTGCCAAGACATGGTAGCTCCCCATATTCCTTCTGGTCCATGGCACCGCTCTGCTCTGGGTGCAGGCCAGAAGGAGACCAAATCAGTGAGGCAATTTTAAATTTACTTTTTGTGAGGGGCACCTGGGTGGCTCAGTCAGTTAAGCATTCAACTTCAGCTCAGGTCATGATCTTGCACTCCGTGAGTTCGAGCCCCACATTGGGCTCTGTGCTGACAGCTCAGAGCCTAGAGCCTGCTTCAGATTCTGTGTCTCCCTCTCTCTCTCTCTGCCTCTCTCCCACTTGTGCTCTGTCTCTCTCTCTCTCTCTCTCTCAAAAATAAATAAATATTAAAATATTTTTTAAAATATAAATAAATAGGGGCACCTGTGTGGCTCAGTCGGTTGAGCGTCCAACTTCGGCTCAGGTCATGGTCTCGCGGTTTGTAAGTTCGAGTCCCACGTTGGGCTCTGTGCTGACAGCTCAGAGCCTGGAGCCTGCTTCAGATTCTGTGTCCCCCTCTCTCTCCACCCCACCCCTCCTTGTGCTGTCTCTCTCTGCTTTCAAAAATGATTAAACATTTTTAAAAAATGTTTTAATATAAATAAATCAATAAAGTTACTTTTTGTGAGATTTAGCCCTTTTTATATACACCTGCATGGGTCCTCAACACACACACGTATATACACCCCTATGACCCTTGCTTACCTGTGCCATTCTTCATAGTTCCATTAGAGATATATGGAAATTATTATGCATATATGAGAAGTATATGAATGTTGATTACTCTAGGGTTTGGTTTGGTTTTGGGTTTGGTTTTGCATAAAAAGGTAAAGATATTCCTTACCTTCAGCTATGATAAACATTTTCCTATTTGGTCTCATGTAACTCTTAAAATTTAATGACTAGTGTCAAAATGCATTGAAATATACTGTTTAAATGGATGCCTCTTACGTAAATTGTACCTCAGTAAAATTGAAATTTTTTTAAAATTAAGAAAAAATGATCAGACTGATTCCTGCCAAACTTCTCTGATAAACATTAGATGTGAGAATAACAGCAAGATGGTAATAATTACCTCTGGCTTTTTTTTTTTTTTTTACAGGGTATACTTTCTAATGAAGTATTTACCATATTGTCCAGTATTCCTGAGGCCAAAAAATTTGCTAAATTCTGGATCTGCAAAGCAAAGTTATTGGCCAGTAAAGGTACCTTTGATGTCATTGGGCTGTATGAAGAGGCCATTCGAAATGGGGCAACAGTGAGTATCTGTCTCGGGTGGGTGATTTGCTGAAAATTCTCTCGTGTGAGTTCTCTGTTGCTTGCAATATGGCAGTTATACAACGCCATGTGAAACTTCTAATTCACATCATAAAGTTATGCACAGAATATGAAACACAGCATGTCCTTTATGTACATTTAATTAAAATTTTATTTGGTAGAAAATAGTATTACATGTAAACCAACAGAATCACTGTTCTTGTCAAGTGATTGTGTCTCACTTTACACTCACTGTAGAAATATGCACTTATGGAAAGTTATAACATCGATATGCAGTACTTACAAAGTCATACCTCACCATGAAGAACCAAAAAATACCTTAAGCCCACTACATCAATATTCACATGGCAACAATTCAGAGCCAGTGCCTGAAAAATAAATTTAATTCTAAAACCTAGTAAAACCATCATTTCTCTATAACTTTTTTTTTAACAAAGACTGCATCCAGCAGTTTTATAACTCTTTTCACTTAAATGTCACTTACCAGCGTCATTTTATATTTCTCCGTACCTCTTCCCATGAGAGTTCAAAGTCAGAGTTGTACATGCACATAAATAGTCAAAAGAGTTCAATAAGGTTCTTTCCCTGAGGACTCTGTGCCCCTCCTCTCCCATTTCCCACCTCCTGGAGCAAACTGGTTATTTTCATATTTACCTTGAATAGTTTCACATAGTGTGCTTGTTTTTCTGTTTCTTGATTTTTCAGTTTTAGACATGACTTGTAGACTTCCAGCTGTGCAGGATGAGGATTTCACCTCCTTTCTCACACACGCCTGCATGGATCCCCAAGAGACACATGCCTGCAGACTTTTGCCATCCTCCATATTTCCATTAGAGTCCTATGGAAATCCTGGTTACTAGTGTTATGAATAATCCTGTGTTTACACTGTTATGAATATATAAGAAATACAGGACTGCTCTGAGCCATGTGGTGTATACTATGATTATTTTGCCTTTCATGCACAACTTTCTACTTTTCCTGAAGTTAATTATTTTTTTTTAATGTTTATTTTTGAGAGAGGGAGAGACAGAGTATGAGTGGGAGAAGGGCAGGGAGAGAGAGAGGGAGACACAGAATCTGAAACAGGCTCCAGACTCTGAGCTGTCAGCACAGAGCCCGACACGGGGCTTGAACTCACAAACTGCGAGATCATGACCTGAGCCGAAGACAGACACTCAACCAACTAAGCCACCCATGCGCCCCCTTTTTTTTTAAATTTTTTTTAATGTTTATTTCTGAAGTTAATTATTGTCTTGTTTTCCCTTTGCTTACTTTCCTGAGTATTTATTACTATAAAATTAATTCCCAAACTCATTTCTAATTGTCTAAATTTCTCACTACTTTCAAAACATCAGATATCCTATCGATTTCTTTTTCGAGACCCTTCTCCCAGGCCCTTCTGACATGTTCCAAGCTCATCAGGTTTCTCTTTAACCTGTCTCTGCTGCCTGTCATACTGGGACCTTTCACCATTATCCTCAGATTCTCTTTTCTTCCTACATTGTCTGTTTTTCCTCTCTCTCTTTTATTGTTGTTGTTGGTTGTGATAGTGGTGGTCTTATTTTGTTTTGTTCTCTATTCATTAAAAGCTTTATTCAGATGTCAGTAAAACTGGGCTGTTTACCAAGAGGTGGGTTTGAAAAAGCTTAGTAAAAGCTCTAGACAGGGCACCTGGGTGGCTTAGTTGGTTAAGCAAGTTAAACATCCAACTCTTGATTTCAGCTCAGGTCATGATCTCATGGTCGTGAGACTGAGCCCTGAGTTAGGCTCTGCACTGATCATGGAGCCTGCTTAAGATTCTCTCTGTCCCTCTCTCTCTGCCCCTCTCCCACTCTTGCTTTTTTTTTTTTTTTTTTTTCCCCTCTCAATAAGTAAATAAATAAACATTTTAAAAAAAGTTCTGGACACATGGATGAGGTTTTACCATAAGGTGATCTGGCTGAGTAGATTGGTTGAAGAACCCTCAATATCAGCATCTTCAGGTCTTTCCTCTAAAATTGGTCATATTCTCCGGCACCTGGGTGGTTCAGTCATTAAGCATCCGACTCGATTTCAGCTCAGGTCATGATCTCATGGCCATGAGATCAAGCCCTGAGTTAGGCTCTGCACTGAGCGTGGAGCCTGCTTAATATTCTCTCTGTCCCTCTCTCTCTCTCTCTGTCCCTCCCCTGCTCACACTTTTTTTTCCCTCTCTCTCAAATAAATAAATAAACATTTTTTTAAACGTTCTGAAAACATGGATGAGGTTTTACCATAGGGTGATCTGGCTGAGCAGGTTGGTTGAAGAACCCTCAATATCAGTGTCTTCAGGTCTTTCCTCTAAAATTGGTCATATTTTTGGGCACCTGGGTGGCTCAGTCAGTCAAGCATCTGACTCTTGATTTCAGCTCAAGTCATGATCTTAGGGTCACGAAATCGAGCCCCTCATCAGGCTCCACACTGGGCGTGGAGCCTACTTAAGATTCTGTCTCTTTCCCTTTCTCTCTTAAAAAATAGATGGATGGGGGCGCCTGGGTAGCGCAGTCGGTTAAGCGTCCGACTTCAGCCAGGTCACGATCTTGCGGTCCGTGAGTTCGAGCCCCGCGTCAGGCTCTGGGCTGATGGCTCAGAGCCTGGAGCCTGTTTCCGATTCTGTGTCTTCCTCTCTCTCTGCCCCTCCCCCATTCATGCTCTGTCTCTCTCTGTCCCAAAAATAAATAAACGTTGAAAAAAAAAATAAAAAAAATAAATAGATGGATGGATAGATGATAGATAGATGATAGATAGATAGATAGATAGATAGATAGATAAAACTGATCATATTCTCTAAAGAAGGATCTTCCAATCTCTTCCTGGGAGCTGGAAACCAGGCTACCAGTGTTGTGAGGGAGAAGAGATCTGGGAGTCTCAACCTTCAGCATGGAAACTTTCATTTATCCCTTTTTTTCAGTCTCAGTCATGCATGATATTCCCCAGAGACTTGGAAAATACATCCCCAGTTTTCTGTTAGGATAAAGAGTTGGAGGTCTGACTGCTGGACAGATGCTCAAGAGTCCTCTTGATTGGGACCTGACCATTCATTCCTGAGCCTTTAAAGACCCTGGGGTTGAATCATGTTGTTTCTCAGCTACATTGCCAGTTTAGGATCTGGCTCTTTCAAGTTGGTTAAGTTGGTTATCTCTTCCTTCTATTTTCTAGCTTCCAAATCTTGTTGCCATTTCTATTCTTTGCCATCATTGCTTCCTTTAATCCCATTACCATTTCAGTAGAGTTTCATCAGGGATTAGAAATAAATATATATTCAGGGACACCTGGGTGACTCAGTCCCTTAAGTGTCTGACTTCGGCTCAGGTCATGATCTCACAGTTTGTGAGTTGGAACCCCTCGTCGGGCTCTCTGCTGTCAGCACAGAGCCTGCTTTGGATGCTCTGTCCCCCTCTCCCTCTGTCCCTCCCCCCTTCTCTCTCTCGCATGCACACTCTCTCTCTTTCAAAAATAAATAAACGTTTAAGAAATAAATGTATATTCAGTCTATCATTTTTAACTAGAAGCCTGTAAAAATGTAAAATACGATTGATAAATTTTTTATAGAATTCAGACTTTTTGCAATATGTTCTATACATTTATTCCCATTCCCTTAAGCTTAAAGCACATTAGACTTTATGAAAATTGTATAAATAGCTTTGCTTTTATGCTCTATTGTTAGTTGATATCTATTATTTATTTGATACAGAATCCCAGATCAGAAAGACCAATGTCCAAATAGAATATTCCTATGAGAAACTACAGTTCATTTATGATGTTATGGCTCATGGCATGGTTTACATACTTTGAAAAAGGAAGGCTATCTCAGATAATTTTACCAGAAAATTACTTTTCTGGAATGGTTTTTTCCTAATGTTATGTTTTTTATGCTATGTTTAATATTATGTTTTATATGTTATATTTAATGTTATGTTTTTTATGTTATGTTACTAAATAAGAGAAGAAAGAAAGGAAATGCTGGAGAAAATTTCCCAAAATGCTAACTAACGGCTATATTTGGGTGATGGGATTATGGGTGATTTCCCTTTTTAAGTTTGACTATTGTTCAATTTTTCTGTAATGAGGTATATGCCTTTTATGATTAAAAACAAAAATTCAGGGGGCGCCTGGGTGGCTCAATCGGTTGAGCATCCGGCTTCGGCTCAGGTCATGATCTCACAGTTTGTGAGTTCGAGCCCCACGTCGGGCTCTGTGCAGACAGCTCGGAGCCTGGAGCCTGTTTCGGATTCTGTGTCTCCCTCTCTCTCTGCTCCTTCTCCCGCTCGTGTTCTCTGTCTCTCTCTCTCTGTCTCTCTCTCTCAAAAATAAACATTAAAAAAAATTAAAAAAAAAAAAATTCAGTTAAGAGAACACTAAAAACGCATGCTGCATTTTCTGTATAGCTAACTTTACATCTTTGGGCCAGAATCTTTATGTGGGAACACATCTTTAGTGGGATCATATGAGACAATAAGAAAATTAATTAATTTAGAGAAATGTCATTATAGACAACTTTCCATAAGCACATCTCTTCTTTAAAGTCAAGCATGCTAGCATTTAACCAACATTTTCTTTGTTCCTTCATTTTTCACCTAAAGCTGTAAATCTGAAATTTTTTAAATATTATTTATTGTTAGACAAGAGATTAAAAAAGGAAACATTTTTATTATAAAAATAAGTTCATTTGATGTTAAGCAAAGTTGCTTGGATCATTTTCCCCATGCAAGTTTTTAATACTGTTTATGTATTTTCTTCCTTCCAGCCAATACAAGAGTTGCGTGAAGTTGTTCTTAATATTTTGCAAGACACAAACAGAACCACAGAAGGTATTGGTATTTTTTGCATTTAAATGCACTCCATCCAGCCACTCATGCAAAAGTCATTGAGGAACACATAGAGAAAAAAGAAATGAATTAAAAGTCCCCTGAAATGCCTCTCACTTCTTGGTTTCCATGGCCTAGTTTTTTCAGCCATCATCATCGGCTTATCTATTTCTATTATTACAAGTAAATGTACTGCTCAACACCAAACAAAGGTTGTTTTCACAAGAGCAGCCTAGAGGAGGGTGTCTTGCTTCCCTGGATTTCTAGGTGGGAGAAGACGAGCGGCTCTTTCTCAGACAAGACTGAGGCAGAAGGGAGAGATGCCTCGGAGTGAGTTCCATGTTCCGTCATAACAACCCCCCAGCACTTACACACCCAAATTCACATTATCACCTTTAACAATGGCCAGAGCAGGCATCTTTTCACTTAGTTAACCACTGGTCAGAACATTTAGAGAACGCTTCTATGAAAAATACTGTGCCAAATACAGTGAGTGGCCCACTATAATTGCTTACGTTTGTTATATGAGTAGCAAGAGAAAACAAGCTACCTTGAGAAAATAAAATAGATTATTTTTATGATCTTGGAAGGTGACCAAATATTTTTCCTTTAAGACAGATTGAACTTTGAGAAACAATCAAGTCATGTGGAATGATAGCTAACTAACCCATTACTTTGGGGATTAAGGTCTGAGTAATAGTATCTCATCCCAGGGTAGAAGGGGATGTTAACCCTAGTGAGTCAAGAAAATTGACCCAAGATATGGTATAAGGGTAAAAGGCCAATGATTATCCCTAAGGGAACTTCTCTCAAGAGAGAATAAGAGACGGGG